CTAGTAACAGGAAGCTACTAGGAGCAAAGGGCATCGCAGTAAACTAGAAGCCTAATCTACAGTAACTAGAATACAGTTACTAGAAGCCTAATGAAGCCTAAAATATCTAGAGCTAGAGCAGCTAGAGCATTGCACTATGATCTGAGGATCAGGACCAAGACTCCATCATTCTCTTCCTGCATCACTTGAATCTACTGAATTTTGTGATTTATTTGTAATCTTATCTTCTTATGTATCTACCCCGGTCTGACATTGTGCTAGGCTTTGCATCCCACCACTTCTTGTATGTTCACAGAATCTGTAGACGGGATTCGCTGCTTCAGAACTTTAATTGAAAGCCAGGCTATTTTCAGATATTCAATTATTGAAACACGTCCAACTATTCTACTGTAGGTATATCATAACACATATAACTAGCAACGGGTGTCAAGCTCCTGAAGGGTGCAAGATTCGGAGCACATGTTTGATTCAATGGAATCTTCAAGTGTTCATTACCATCTCCCATACTCCTGCACTCGCTGTGAAAGCATCCACCGGTAGCCTGCCTCTTTCCTGACAAGAAAATATGAAAGTATTTAATATTCCGTTCAAAAAGGCTTGTGAAAGGTTTGCTTAGTTAGAAAAAGACATGCGGAAATTTAAGATTGAAAATTATCGCATGCCCAACTGAGGTCACCACTGTGGATCCGCACCTGAAAATGTGTCACTCTGAGTCTCTAAGGATCTTTGGTTTATCTTACCGACCGCTTGCAATCCATACAAACAAAATAGGAGATGGCAAGAGTCGTTTGCAGTGATGGTCATCCTGGCTCTACAGGACAGGACATTACAATCCCAGCTTCATCTGACCTATATTACATTTTCTCCACAGGTATCCGATGGTCTTCAGATGTCTTCAGAATCTCATTTCCTCTTTCTGAGTTCTCTCGTTCTGCAAGTTGCAAGAGTGGAAAAAATAAGGTGTTTCAAGGCCTACAATCTTTAATAAGGCCTCTTTGAACGTCGATTTTTACATCCCCAATTCCTACACTCTCCCGAGCCCCGAGGCTGTGACGCCGCAAGCGCCGTAACAAATCTAGCAACTCAGACCGAGCCCAGTCCTTAGTATGGATGAGGAAGTACTGTAATCCGTGAGGATGAAGAAGAGTCATCACAACTTCACAACACTGTGCTCTTAGGCCCCTTAGACCAGGTCAGCATGCGCCAAATCACGAGTGTGCAGAGTGTGCTGGTCATGTTCCGAACAAAGAAGTCAATATCAATAAAGTAAGCCTGAGGATGCCTCATCGCCCTTCTGTTCCCGTAGCTGTAGCAGACCTGCTCACAACAGCGACCGTGACACACACACACACATTCATACATACACACGTTGCTCCATTGAATTGCAACCTGATAGTCACGTTGCACAGAGATTCGCAGCTCCCAGATTGGTTAAGACATTGGATTAGAGTCACTCAGATACCGACGATCTATGCTTGCAGCATCATCTTCATCATCGCCCCCTAAGAGAACAACACAGGTGTCATTTAAAATGCCACTACAATTTGGCCTCTAGAACGGCCTGTGACGTCATCTGGTGGCAGCTTGCAAAACCTTGACGATGCTATTGCATCTGTTGCAGTACAAGCATTCTAAAGTGATTATATAATCATCACAACTGGGCCTTCCGAGGGCGCAATCAAAAATCGCGCTACCTTCGTTGTCAAATTCACTGAATGTGCATTTCATGTGCGCACCAGAAATGATGCATGTCAGCATGCCCAAGGAGGAAGACAAGTCACTGAAGGCCAGTGGAGCATTACCAAAGTGTACGAGAGCACGCAGCAGCATGGCACCAACCTGAGACTGACAAACCACTCAATCGAGCATCCCATATCTTTCCTGGAAGGAAAGACTTGAGGCCAGGGGGAGAGGTCGAAAGCTAGCCGAATCGCACCGGATGTACTAGTTACATAGTCGGCAAAGCATGTAGGGATGACATGTTTTGGGAGGAAGGTTGCTATGTACATACTTTGCGCTAAATAATGTACATGTGACATCGCTGACTGGGAAGGGTACATTGGAACAACCCGGGTGCACTCGTTGGCAGGCACGAAGATGCGTGATCGGCAAATCTGGGGGGTAAATTTACCCTCCGCTTTTGTATGCCTTGAGTCGGAAAGATGGGTAAGCATTTCTGACATCATACGGACTGTACATACACTAGGGCGTCCGTAGTGTAGGAGAAGCACGGGTAAAAGGTATATGGAATAGAGTGTCTTGAGGAAATAGCCGGTGTATGGTTATTGCAAATCTGGGGGGTAAATTTACCCCCCGCTTATGTATGCCTTGTGCTGGAAAGAGGGGTAGGCATTTCTGGCATCACAGGGACTGTGCATACACTAGGGCGTCCGTAGTGTAGGATAAGCACTGGTAAAAGGTATAAGGAGTAGAGTGTCTTGAGGAAATAGCCGGCTTATGGTTATGGCAAATCTGGGGGGTAAGTTTACCCCACGCTTATGTATGCCTTGAGCCGGAACGAGGGGTAAGCATCACAAGGACTGTGCATACACTAGGGCGTCCGTAGTGTAGGATAAGCACTGGTAAAAGGTATCAAGAATAGAATGTCTTGAGGAAATAGCCGGTGTATGGTTATAGCAAGCCTGGGGGGTAAATTTACCACCCGCTTATGCATGCATTAGGTTAGAAATAGGGGTAAACAACTTGCAACGGTGAAGTACAAGTCCTATGCAGCAAGCAGCAGCCAGCAGCAGCAGCAGCAGCAGCAGCAGCCGCCTGCAGCCAGCAGCCAGCAGCAACCACCAACCAGCAGCCAGCCAGCAGCACCACGCAGCAGCAGCGCAGCATCAAGCCGCAGCAGCAGCAGCACCACCGGCAGCAAGCACCACCGGCAGCAAGCAGCAAGCAGCAGCAGCAAGCAGCAAGCAGCAGTAGCAGCGGCGTCGTCAGCCGCAACAAGTAGCAAAGCAGCAGCTACAAAAGCGGCAACCAGCGGCAGCAGCAAACAGCAGCAGCAAGCAGCAGAGCGGCAGCAGCAGCAGCAGCACCCTTTACACCAAGCCACCGTTTACACCCAACCAACCACGTTCAACCAACCCCCTACACGGCGCAGCTGGGAGTTGAACCGCGGGGGGGGGGGGTTAGCTTGATATATCAATCTTTAAGGCACGCAGCCCCTCCCACCACAACATTGCTAAAGCAAAGAAGAACTCAGCTAGCATGCTAGCTTTCGTGAAAAGCGGTTTTGGAACAGAACGTGCACAGTCAGGGGGGTCTATAAACCACCCGACTGTGGTAGGGCGGATCCTTTTTCTTTCAATGGATGTTACAGTGGGCCATCAGAGGTTCGATGGCACTGGCACCCCTATGCCTGTCACTTGGGGGCCTAGGTCCGTGCCATTGGTCCTCTCAATCCGGACTCTTGGCACCGGACACTCGCTCGAATCCGCGGATGACGACGACGTTCCGTTCAAACAAGACCCCTCCGTCTTGAAGAGGAAGCCATGACGTTTGCTCATGGAGTGTGGAGTGTAACAGGATCTTGACTCATGAATGGGCCCCATGTCCAACCACCCCCTTGGGACTCCTCGTATCTCTTCATAGGTATATTTGGAGAGTTTTTACCAGATGAATCAAGATGCTACAGTGAGAGCTGCAACGTACTCTCTTCAGATACCCGACGTGAAGAGCACTCCTGGCCACATTCGCCTCAGCACACGCTGAACGGCATGCCGCCTCTACCATGGCGGTGGGCTGTCAAGGCCGCCACGGACCATGTGATGACACGAGAGGAGCAAAGTCCATAAGGTTCCACCAACTGAACATGCAATACATGTACCAACATCCTCCAACAGGTCTCCTTTAGAGGGTTCCAAGAGGTTCCAACAGGTCTGAATTGAACTAATCATGGTTGCGTGGATGGGACATTGCCAATCAGGTGTCCGCTTCCATGATTATTACGGGGGCAGCACAATCTTCAAAACCTAGGGATTTCAAACACGCCCTTCCATATTATGAGCGGCCTTGAGCATGTGTGGCTTGAATTGAGCCAGTGGCTCTCTCCCTCTCTCTCTCTGTTCCTATATCCTTGAGCTGAGAATTCCCTGCGGACATCCATTCGGCGCCGCTTGAGGAGCACCCGTCGAGCATGTTGAGGAGCACCCTCGCCGAGGAAAAGGAGTGCAGAACACGTGCACGAAGTGACGAACACATTTCATCACATGGAAGTGGATGGTATGGTCCTGAAAGGAAAACGACTCTCCTCTAGAAACAACTGGTGAGCGGTTTCAGAGTATTAGATGGCACAAATGTCCAAGTTCGGGTCCAAAAGGAACCCCCATCTGTGTAAGACAACTTGGGGTAACAATGCCATCGAACCTCTGAAATCACTATACGGCTGGTGTCACACTGCGGGGTCAATGTTGCAGGACCATGTAGGACCGTCTCCTCATGACATCTCATGACACAAACATGCGCAGGGTCTCATTGGTGCCTGAAAGACCCATTGGAAAGACTCACTCTCATTGGTCCAAACACTTGAGTTGCATATTTACCTGCATGGGGTGAGGGGGTGCATGTAGGCAGAATCTATTCCATGCATGGAGTCTAGTTCTATGACTTCCGGAGACGTCTACGTCAAAGGTCTCACCGCTCTCGGCACATAGGCAGGAGCAAAGCCCCTGGATTCCTCTCACCTGAAGACAGCCTCGCGAGTCGACCCGGGGGCCTTCAGATTAACGCTGTCAAATCCGTTGAGCCACGCCTTTCCCATCCCCGGTTCAGTGAAAGGTGAGGATGAGGAAAAAGCAACAAAGCTATTCAAAATTAGTGTCCAGGCACATTCTGAGTGCGTACCTGCAATTGCCCATTGGATTCACAGGTATTTAGGTAACATTACAGGCACAGTAAGCCAATGAGCCATACCCATCTGACACCCAAAAAAGAACAGAAAGCGGTGCAACGCCGGAAAAAACCACACGCAGATTCGATCGCTCTGGGCATCAACGGTCCGAGGGACAGAGGAAAGCAATGGAAAGGTTGTTCACCAAGAGGAGCGAGGCAATCCCGAAGTTCGCCACCTCAGAAACGCGAGGCGTTCCCGTTCGCGGCTTGGCGGCGTCCAGAGAGATCATGAGACGGGCAGGCAGGCAGGTCGTTTGGAAGACGCCCAGCAGTTGCAAGAGGTGGTCAAACCATCCACCAGTGGGAAGATGCTTCGCACGATCCATGGCAAAAATGTCATAGCCATGGCCTCAAGAAAGCGTGCCTAACAAGGTAGCATGGCCTAGCATGGCCTAGGTTAGAGGCCTCGAAAAGGCCGTTCCTGTTGTTTGTCAAGAAGGCTGACGTCAAGGCCAGGCATCGAACGATCGGCGAGCGCACCGTTCGCTGAGCTCGCGACATGCCCACTGGGACGGGGAAATCCATGATACTGTCCACCTGCGGACAGCACTGGCAACAGGTCGCAACGGGTCGAGGTAAAGATTTCGGGGCAGGCAGTACATCACCAAAGCTCCAAGCTTCCGAAGAACCCCCAAGCCACAAGCACCACACCAGTCACACTAGTGAAGACGCACATCTCCCGACGACCCAGGGGCACGAAGTCATCCCCGACCTGGCAAGTAGGAGCCGTCTGCATAGCGGATCACCATCCTCAGCCCGCCCCCTGGATCCCCCTCAGATGCAGGTGGATACCATCCCAATCCCATTGAACTAGTTTAGCTGGGGTCTCCAAATTCGTGGACATGGTTCATTGTTCCTCAGGTGGATGCTGGTGTCCAAACTTAGGAAGATTGAATCTCACTGAAGAGAGGACATGGTGCCCTAATTCCATCATGTAGAATCCTGATGAAAAACACTTAACCTTCACTACTTGATCAGTGCTTCTTCATGCGAACTTCACATCACTTCACATCCATGTCCCTGAGGTGACACTACCTGATGGTGGCCAGCTGTGCCACAGTTGGGCCTTGGGCCACCCCAACCTATCAAAAAACAGCCTTTCATGCATGGCTGATGGACGTCATCGACAGTTAGCAGGATGAGATTCGGAGCCTCTCCGCAGTCCAAAGAAACGCCAGGGGGTGGCATGAACATAGAAGAGCTGGGTGTACATCAACCCCTGAAAGCCCAACCCTTGCCTGTAAGGCCCTGAGAATCCCATGCTCTGACCAACAAATCAACAAAAAACAAATAAAACACCTCATGGAAGGTGGTTCTCCATCGAAGCTGACCCATGGGGCGCCACATGGGTCTCAAAGGGTCGGCCCGGGGATCCAAGCTCGCCTAACGCGGAGCGGCGGAGGTCCGGCCCGGTGCTGGGTCTAAAAGGGGAAGAACGTGAGCACAACAGGAGTGTGAAAAAACCACGCAGTTGGCAACAGAATGCAACAGGCAACAGGAATATTAAAACAAATGCATGGTCTGTTGCCAAACTAGGGTAGATTAAGACAAAGCTGGTTTGGCGGTCGAGCATCATGATGGCCATGTAGAGGACGGCGATCAAGGCGAGGAAAGATGTGGGCGCCAGTGCTGAGAGGTCTTTCCTCAGCGTCCATCTTCAGTTACGTCTTGACAGTGGAGTTCATGGCAACGAATGGAACAACAGAGCTAGCTCATGCAGCTCGTTCTCCACATGGTGGAGCATAGGTAGCACAGTGGGTTTAAAGCTTAAGAGTTAGCGAAAGTGATCTTTTTCATGCCCTTGGTCACGTTGGGGAGCATGTGCATGTGTGCTATTTATGTCATATGTCATGCTTCTCGGGGTGCGAATACCAAAACCAAAGCGAACATGCACTCTTCTCGACTCCGGTCCCGGACATCCTCCCTCCCTCGTCCACCGGCGAACGATACTCCGCCGGGCAGCAGCATGCAAAGGGGCAACAGTGGGAAGAGAGCCAGGAGGGCAATGCAATAGGATCGTGGAAGGAAGTGGATTCCAAATCCTCCAAGCTGGAGGTGGCACCGGGTTCATGGCACCAACGTTCAGGATCAGCCGAGTCAATTGGAGGGACCAAACGAGTCCATCAAAAGGCTGATCCTAGTTAAGATAGGTGAATTGAGTGATGATGATGCTCATCGTGATACATATGATATATATAGTAGTATACACTATATATATTATATATATATAACTATAAACTATATAATTTGTAAGGGTGTCTAAATGGGACATGAATGAATGAAATGGATGAACCCAGCTGGAGCCTCACTGAATTCAGAGTAATTATCACATCTCGTCGAAACCGCTGGCATTTTTCTGATCCAATCTCTTCTTCCCTCAACTGGGCATATGCGGGAATTACCCGTAACGAGTGGCTCATGTGGGCGAGTGGTATCTCATTCTCGCTTCAGCCCCTCAGCAGCTTCCCCACCTCACCCCCCTTTCCCAGTTCGTCCTGGCAAACACATGGAGATGAGGTCTCCGACCATGCAAATGTAGGCCAAAGCATTTCCAAAGCACACCAACCACAGCACCACGGTGGGAATCCACTTGCCTCAGCACCACGGGAGCATAGGGATGGCGTGGAGCCAGAGTCTCGCCACCCATGCTAGGTAGGCGGTGAACTGGCTACCCGGCAGCGGAACAGGGCGCTTTGGCGCCGAAGAGCGAGCATCGTCGATCCAAGCGAATCAACGTGAATCAACTCTCCAAGTCAAAGAGACCAACGTTGAACACCACCTGCCTGCAGAGAAGACAGGGTCTTCCACGGACATCACCCCACTGACACCCACATCCCACAGAGTCTGTTGTGGCAGGAGTCTATCACGTCCAATGCATTTCTCCCACAGACGATCGTAGCTCTTGACGCCTGGGCTCTTGAGTCTGGAAAGACCAGAGACCCGACCATTAGGATGGTCTGCAAACAAATGCTGGGGAGTGGATTTCCCTCAAATCGAGACCAATGACTAACCCCCCACGGCCCAGACTTCTTGGACGCTCTGGTCTCGTGGGGTTGCTAGAGCCAGCCCGAAGATCTGCTGTCAAAAGGGGCATGGCCTCTTGAGGGCGGTTTCTCTTGCACATGTTGGCCTGGAAAGCCCTTGAAATGAGGCAGCCAAAAAAAGGAAAAGGCCTGGATATACTGTACACTGTATATACTACCTATAAATCCTATGAGCTGGCTTTGGAGGTTGGCTGGTGCCTTTCGTCTTTGGAGCTAGTTGGATAAATGAACGAATCACCATGAGCGACTTCTAATTCTGCAGAAACCACCACACACATTGAGCAGTACACTCATGTACACTCAATGCAACACCCATGGACCACACAAACACCCATGGACCCACTGTCACTTCGATCGAAATCACCCGAAAATGTCACTTCGATGCGCCTGGCTGGATGACCCGCCCAACAATGGGCGCCAGCTTAGGCACCAACGCCTCCTGTCGTCGGGCCCACGCCCGCCTGCGATCTCAATGGTGCGGGAGACGAGAAACATCATGTAAGCAGCAGCCGTTCCAAACCTCATGGTTTCCACGAGCGCGCCGCGCGGACCAGGGGTTTAGTTGGGGCGCTTCGTTGGCGCGACCTGGTCGCAATGTGTCAGTTCCGACGGGCTGGTCGCAAGCGCCCCAGTTGTTAGAGTATTGTACCTACGGCACCTATCTCAACTAAGATGGCACTCAGATTGTGCAAAGCCATCTCCATTCAGCCCATCGTGGACGTGGACTCCCCTCTCTTTTCCTCTTCATCATGCATGTGGAAACCACATCCATGTTTGTTGCAATATAGAGGCAGGGTAGTTGGTGACATCTACTCCAGCACCCAGAAACCCATAGAAACCCAATCCCTCTCCTCCCAACTCTTGGGTCCAAGCAGGAGGAGCAGCATGATTGAAGGGATGTAGCCTGCGAGCAGAGCGCTGGGTCGGAGAAGGGAAGGTCATCTGGGGGAACCACAGGTTCGGCGGACTCGGCCCCCCAAGATATCTCAAACAATTGAAGTTTCTGAAGGGAACACCTTCCCGAGGCCTGGAAACAAAAAGGGCAATGCCTAATGCCTAATGATGAGTCGATGAGCATGTCTGGTTTCAATCCTTTCAAACGCTTTGATGTCTCCGTCTCTCTCTCTCTCTCTCTCTCGCTCTCTCCCTCTCTCTGCAGGGTCTGGATATTTCATGGGAACCTACATCGTAGAATTCCCGGAGAAAACGTGGTTTTCATGGCATTGAGGGAACCCCTCATCCCCCCAAACCCGCTATAGCTGCATCTTCCAAGGACCTGTGCCAGACATGCCGAAGGCCAACGGCAGCACTCCAGCAGGCGAAATGTCGGCCAGCATGTTGATGACCAAAGAGAGATCGCTCATGGTGTCCTGCTAAAGCTGCGTCTCGGCCCAAGTTCGCTTGGTATACCTTTCCCACACCATCCAGGAAAACCATGATGTTGCTGGGAACCAGTGGTGATAAAAGACTACAGTAAGACTAAAACCATAGACCATAGACCGAACGAACCCCTGGTTCCTTATATAGTGGATTATAGTGGTATATAACTGGGATCCACTGGGTTCACTTGGCTTGAGTCTGATCTCTCTTTTTGACCCCCAGTCACACCACTTCTTCAGTCGTGCGCAGGGCTCCTACATTCCTAGACCCTCATCACTACCCTCATCCTAGAAAGTGCTTGAGAGCTATACTACCGATAGCATAAACACGGCACTTCCATCCGGGGGTACTGGAACTGCGCCTGTCCATGTTAGCTGCCTGGCTGCGGCTCGCACTCGCCTCAGAAGCCCTACAGCATAGGTACTCTTACAGATTTTGCACGCAGTGGTTGATCTGGAGGACTTGCCTTTTTCTGGTAAGGTTTGATGTGTAAACCAAAGAGCAAACACCATTGAAGGCCTGACCAACAAACACATAGTGGTCAGATATGGTCAGATCCAAGATTCAAGTTGCAGCGCGCAAAAAAACAGGAGGCAACCCTCCTGCAAAAAACAAAGGTGTGAATCGGACGTCGAACTCCATGTTGGTCAAAACACGCACAAATCGAGAAGCATACCATGACTGTGTCGAATGTCGGCACAAGCTGGGCGGGACCCTGCATGTGGTTGGATCGCGAAAAGGGTGCGATCCTGTAGATGCTATCCACAGTGGTAGCGGAGCGCTAAGCTCCAGGTAGTGCTTGTAGTGCCATGGCAGATGGCAGCACCCAGCCGGTGCCGAGAAGTGATGGAAGTGAAGCTGCTGAAGGTGAGCATGCTGGAGTTGGTTCAACCCGGTCTCGGGTTAGAGGCCGTGATGTGTCGCCAGCTGGAGCTGGCATGTCTGATGACTTTGATAGTGATGAGTTTAGAGAGTTTTTGAGGAATCGTCGACGCCGAGACCGAGATCGCGATCGAGGCCGAGGACGTGGTGATGAAGAAGAGGATTGGAAGGGAGGCGGATCCACTTCCAAGCCTCCGGAATGGGATGGCGATGCGACGCCATTCCAAGATTGGCTGATCAAGGCCAAGTTGTGGTTAGCTACCACCAAAGTCCGGAAGACAGCGCAGGGTCCCATGATTCTCCAAGGACTACAAAGGGTAGCATTCCACACGTTCAAGCACTGGGCAAAGGACCTGGAATGGCTTCAAGATGAACAAGGTGGCCATCGACTTTTGGCTGCCATGGATCAACCCGAGAACTTCGGGGACGACAAGGAAGAAGACCTGTTGAGCTCCCTCGCCAAGGTCACGTACCACATCCGAAGAGATCGACAAGAAGGACATCGAGCGTTTTTCAATAGATGGGAAGAGGCCATGAGGAGGGTGGCAACTCATCAGGTTGTTTTGCCTGATGCCTACAAAGGATTCCTGCTCATCAACGCCTTGAACCTCAGCGAGCAGGACATCAAGAACATGATGAACTTCAACCGAGGAAGCATCGCCACCAAGGATGTCAAGGAATGGGTTCGCAAACACGAGACGAAGCTCATGGCCAAGGAGGTTGGAATCGACCCGAACAAGAATAAGGGAAAGTCTTCGACCGGGACTTCGTCGACTACACCGGTGCACCACATGAATGTCGATGACCAAGTGGACTACACCGACGAGAACGAGATTCTGGAGGCCGTCCTGGAAGAGCTGAATGACGACGAGGACGGAGAGAATGGCGAGGAAGGTCACAAGAGGCCAATGAGGACGAGCTCCTTGATGAACATGAAGTTCGCGAGGTCCTGAACACCATGTACCAGAAGAGGACCTTCAGCCAGAGCTTGAAGCTGAAAAAGGCCAAGGAATTGGCTCGAGGATTTGGTGGCTGGAAGGGAACCGGAAAAGACAAAGGAAAACAAGGAAAAGGAAAGCTGATCGACCAACTCAAACAGAACAGCCGATGTGCCATTTGCAAACAGGTTGGTCATTGGCATCGAGAATGTCCTGAAGGGAAAGGAAGAAGCAAATCCACGCCCAAGGAGAACTACTACATGGAGAAGGTGACGGGCAATGAGACTGAGGAAGCATATTTCTGCGGCCACCTGGAGACTATGGATCCCCTGGATGACATGAAGGACTTCAATGACGAGAAGTTCTTTCGACTGATGGACCCGGTTGACCAGGAAGACCGGGAGATCTATGGGGAGCAATATCGGCACTTCGAAGAGAACTATGAGGATGAAGCATGGCCCCAAGATTCCGACGTCGAGAAGGACGTGGGGACAACCTCACTGATGCCTCCGTCGGTGGCTAAGACTTCAACCGGAACAAGCCCAGCTGAGCCCGAGGATGATCCGAAATTCGGAATTTTTGAGGTGGTTTCCAGCCCCCACAATGTAGCTGGAGAAGGCAATCAGTCCAACTCCCGATATAAGGCCCAATGCGCAGCTATTGGAGGGGATATTGGGGGAGAAGATAGTGATTTTTGGGGGGATGAAGTTTTGTGGACTAGTAATGATTCTTGTTTGCAGGGGAGAGCAACCGAAAATCATTATAAGCCCGATGACCACCGCAGGACCGGCGAGAAGAAACCTGTTCCACCCCAGCTTTTGAGGACACGCCAAGATGACGGATGCGCCACCATTGACACTGGGTGCCAGAGAATGGCGATCGGAGAAGAAACACTACATCGACTAGCCCGACAACTACCCTCCAATCTCGGAATAGGACTAGTACCTCAAGAGCATCGTTTCAGGTCAGTGAACGGGACATCATCCACCACTCATTTGGCCACGATTCCCACCAGTCTTGGTAACAAAGGAAGCCTGCTACGTCCGGCCATCTTTCAGGAGGGAGATTCAAAGAAAGCACCATTTTTGATTTCACTGCCCTTCCTTCTGCATTGTCGGTCCGTTCTTTACCTGGACCCTGAAAGAGGCCTACGGCTGCACCTTCGTAGATTCGGGTTCGGGGTGGATTGCCACATTGGTCCAACCGGAGCACTTCGAGTCCCCCTCAACCAGTTCACGAAAGAACAACAAACTCGTCTTCAACAGCTTCAAGAACAACTCCAAACGGAATCATCCGAGTTCGAGATCCTGAAGACAGTTCATGCGACCAATGACGGCTCAAGTCAAGAACTCGACGTGGAGACTGGACCTCGAGAACCAAGTCCGATTTGCCATGAAGCGCAGCCGGATCGAGGAGAACCGGTACGACCACGTGTGGGCTCGCCTGGTAGCAAAGATCCTGTATGTGGTGATGCGACTGACGGAGTTGGCGGTCTCACTGATGGGACAGAGGATCTATGCCGGAACCATGGACGAAGAGACGGAGACGGAAGTGAACGACATGGAGGACTGGGAACAAATCCGACCTCACGGGAGAAACAAGTTCAACATATGGCCAACGGAGACCTCTTCAACACGAACCAGACGAAGTGTGGAGAACTCCGTAGCCTCGGACTCAGTCAACCACCTACAGCATCCGAAGAGAAGAGCCCAGGAAGCTACCGCCCTTCGACTCGATCTCCGAACACTCCGACAGAACTGGTGGAGAAGCCACCAGAACCAAAGGCATTCCCGAAGGAGAATTCCAAAAAGGGGAAGAACCTGAAGGGAGCCGAGATCATCGACGAGGAGGACCCGGAGACTTGCGAGCACCACAAAACCACCAAGAGGGGCACCAACGCATTCGTGAATGTGGAGAAATGCCTCAAATGTGGAAAGATCCTGAAATCGGAACGGAAGGCCGATCTGACGGAGATCAAGATCAAGATCGAGCCGGGAGATCAAGAGGAGAAGCCGATGATGGACAAGGACAAGGCCGACTTTGCAGAGTTCCTGGAGTACCAGAAATGGAAGGCCGAGAGAAACAGGTCCCAGACCGGTGGCAACAAGAAGTAGAACAATGGGGCCAATGGAAGGAACTTGAAAAGAAACAACAGAAGGCGATGGAATCAGCTTTGAAAACGGCTGAGGACTATTTGCAGGAGATTATGACGCTTCTGAGGGGGGATGAGCCAATTTGCGCCATCGAGAAAGATCTAGAGCGCATCAAGTCCAACACGAGAAGTCTCCAAAAGTATGCTAGAATGATAAAGGGATCCCCCAAGACCGTTGTCGAGATTTTCAACCCGAAGCGATTTGCACCTCGTTGCACTCGGGCAGACTCGTCGCGGCAGCAGCATTCGACCTCGAGCTTGGGGACCAACTCTTGGATCCAAAAGAACGAGACCAAGTGATGAACTTCATCAAAGACTTAAACCAGGACTGGTCATCATTTCTCCACCGTGCACCCTGTTTAGCATCATGCAGAACATGAATGTGAGAAAGGAGAACTTCCAAAAACGACTTCGACAAGCTCGAGTTCTGCTCAATTTCGCCTGTGAGGTGATAAGTGCAGTGCTGGACTACGGGGGGACCTATTTGTTAGAACAACCTTTGACCTCGAAGGCCTGGACCGAAAGAGCCCTACAGAAGGTCATCAACCGGGATGATAGCATCCTCACCTCCTGTGATCAATGTCAATACGGACTTCAAGATGCCCAAGGAGGATGGATGAAGAAACGAACTGGATGGATCACCAACAGCCAGGAAATCGCTGACAAGTTGAAGCAGCAATGCGACGGAAGTCACCAACATATTCCAGTCCTCGGCTCTTGCAAGGGGGAAAGTCGCTCGACTCAGGCTCAAAGATACCCAGACGCACTCGTCGATGCTATACTGCAGGGATACCAGCAGGGCCTTAACCACCCCAAGAAGGAGATCACCTGGCTAGGACTTCGTGATTGTCGAGAACTTGACGAACGAACAAGGAGTCGCCAAGACCAATGGACCTGGCTGAACCAGAACGAACATGAAGTACATGCCCAACAAGAAGAATCAGAAGAAAATGGAGAAGAAGAAGAAGAAGAAGTAGACAGTCGCTTGGGAAAAGCCTACCTTCCTCGAGAAAGACCATTCTCAACGGAGCAGTTGGTGCGAAGAGCGCATGAAGGACTTGGACACCCAGGAAATGACCGACTGGCGAGAATCCTCCAGAGTGCCAGTGCTTCACGAAAAGCAATCGAGTGTGCCAAGAATCTGGTTTGTGCCACGTGCCGACAGCACCAACTTGTCAGACCGCCCAGAGCCGCGGCGCCACCAAAAGAACTACCACCAAATCACACGATTGGAGTGGATACCATTTGGCTTCCTACACCTGGAAAGAAACGCAGAATGGCATTGAATATAGTTTGCTGGTCTACGAGATTTCAAATGGTGATTCCACTTCGAAGCCACACTGCTCCTGACACCAGAAGAGCCTATTTAGAATGGGTTCGATTCATGGGGGTGCCACAGCGACTTTACACGGACTTGGGAAAAGAATTTTGTGCTGCCTTCCAGGATGGAGCTGAACTGGATGACACCATTGTCGAACCCAGTGCCTTGGAAATGCCAACTCAAAGATCGATCACCGAAAGATCAGGAAAAACCTTCAAGGAAGTGCTCACCAAGGCCATGGAGACCTATGCGGTACAGAATGACTCCGAGTGGAGAGATTTGGTGGACATCGTGAACATGACCGTGAACCGCCTCACCAACAAATCGGGATTCTCACCCGCGCAACGGCTTCTGGGATACACGCCAAAAATGCCAGGAAGTCTCCAATTCCTGTCACAAGAAGAGCAAAAAGAAAGGAATTGGGCAACTCGAGGAGATCTTCAGATGCAAAGAGCACAAACGATGCGACTGGCGGCAGCAAAAGCATTCCATGAAACAGAATGCCAACAAGCACTAAGGAATTCACTACATGCCGGACGTCGTGCTGTACCCGAATTTGAAGTTGGACAAACCGTCTACTTCTGGAGACGAGCTCCGGGAGACAAAGCAAGTCGAGATAGCACAAAATATTGGAGAGGCCCAGCAAAGGTGGTCCTCACATCACCACCAAATGCCATCTGGATCAACTTCAGGCGGCACATCGTCAAGGCGGCACCAGAACAACTACGGCATGCTAGTGAAGAAGAACAGATATCATTGTCTTCATGGATGGAAGGTCTATCGAACCTCCGGCACATCATGTCAGAAGAACCGAAGGCTGGCTACATCGACCTCACCAAGGAGTACAACGCTGAGGAGATGGATCAAGAAATGGAAGAAGTTGGGCTTCCGCCAGAGGAGCAACCGATGAAGAAACCAAGATACAAGGTCGAAGGAAAAACTCCCTTGAAGGATGTGGAAGAACGACCAGAAGAAGATGAATGGATGTGGAATGAGCAGAAAGGAATATTAACCCGGTTCCATCTCCAACTTCGACAACAGAGCTTCCGTCCAACAGATACAAGCGATTGTCCTGTCGATTACAACAAGCTTCAAGGACACCGACGGACCACGATGTACTTCGAGGACGGGAACATCATTGAGACTGTAGATGACTGGAGAAAAGACAATCCCACACAGTCGAGGAGATGGAAAGGAAGAACCGAATTTCAAATGGATCCCACTCCACTTCTCTGGGATCACGAAGCACCAAAGATGGAAGACACACCAACCGCGGAGGAACAATCAGAAAAGAAGGAATCACCGGACGTGGGAGAAGAACCACCTATGCCCGTCCACAAGAGGCAATTCGAAGAGGAGAATGAAGATCGAGGAGAAAAGAAGATGAAGCATAACCCTGAAGAAGAAGAACTATCTCGTGGACAAGTACGACCTTTTGAGCAAGAAGAACAACAAGAAGGAGACCCAGTCACAAAAAAGCAGAGGATCGACTGGACTGAAGTTATGCTCCAGACATTGGTTCAAGAAACCAAGAAACAAAAAGGACAAAAAGAAATCAAACTGAAGGAACTCATGCAATTCGCAAGGGAGAAGTTCCTGAAAGCCATCAAGAAGGAGATTGACAATAACATCACCACTGGAGCCTATGAGATTCTAACGCCCGAAGAATCAGAAGAAGTCCGACGAGGAGGCCAAAACATCTTACAATCACGATATGTCCTCGTCGAAAAGCGAATTGATCCTGACGAAGTGGAAGAGATGAGGATGAACGACCTTCTTCTCCGAGAAGATGAACATGGAGGATTCAAAGCGAAGGCGAGACATGTCATGAAGGGCTTCAGTGAACCTGATTCAGAATGGCTTGAAGCTGCTACTCCACAAGTGGCACCAGAAACGGTCCTCCTAATCCTTCAGACTATTTGCTCATGCCGGTGGACCCCAGGATACTTGGACTTCACTCAGGCTTTCCACAGCGGCGATGAAATCTCGAGGCTTCTATTTGCAGAGCTCCCAGCTGAAGGAATCCCCGGAGTCGACAAAAGACAATTGCTCAAATTGAAGAAACATTGCTATGGACTCCTGGATGGACCTTATCAATGGTACGTTCACCTTCAACGTGTCCTGAAGGATTTAGGCTATGAGCAATCTCAAGCCGATCCTTGCTTATTCCTACTTTTTAAAGAACCTGAACGACCAGATCGAGATGGAGGAGAAGCCAGGACAATAGAAGGAATTGTGGGAGTGGCCACGGACGACCTACTACATGGCGGAGGAAACAAACACTGGTCGAACATGCGTTGGATTCAACAACACTACAAGCTCGGCAAGTTCACCCAAGGAGATGGACGATTCGTTGGAAAAGAGATCCAATGTCTCAAAGATGGTCCCATCAAAGTGCATCAAACCATGTATGTCAAGGAGAAGATTCATACAGTGAACATTACAAAAGATCGAAAGAAAGAAAAATACAACCTCTGCAGCGAAGATGAAATCTCAGCACTCCGAGCGTTGCTCGGATCATTAGCTTGGCTGGCCAAAGAGACAAGACCTGACCTGATGGGACGTGTCTGCATCTTACAGCAATGCATGCCTCGGCCATACATCAGGGACTTGATCGAAGCAAACGCGTTGGCACAAGAAGCGGAAAAGGAAATCGATGCCGGAATCATGATCACCCCCATCGATAGAAGGGATCTTCGAATTGGATCCGCCTCCGACGCAAGTTGGGGCAACTCACCATGCAAGGAACTTGAAGAGAAGAGCAAAGATTTTTGGGAAGAACGAGGTGATCTTTGGATTAGACATCATGTTCAACCTCGGCATCTGCTTTTCCATCCAGGAGCTGACTCCAGTGGACCGCAACTCCATGATCTTGAAGTGGAGCGTGCTACTTGGGTTGATGGAGAATTGTTTGAAGACACCTGGAATCGTCGAGAAGATTTTCGACGACACGGAGATTCAGAATGGAAAGGACACACGGTCTTCATGAAGAAGAAGGAAAAGAAGAACAAAGTCGAAATCCATGAAAAGTTTCTACAAGTTGGACGAACACATAGCCAAGGTGGACACATAGTCTACGCCTATGACAAGAAACTCGAAACCGAGCAAACTCCACAAGCCCTGTCGATCCTGAGTTGGAAGAGCTATAAGTTGAAAAGATGCACAGTCAACACATTGGCGGCCGAAGCTCAAGCAATGGTTCAAGGAGTCGGAGGTTCATACTGGCTAAGGTTCCTATGGTCAGAGATCCAAGGCTACAAGATGAACCTGAACAACTGGCAAGAGCGAATAAGTCGAACTCCATTCACAGCAGCAACAGACTCAAGATCTTTGTTCGACAACCTGAGCAAGTCAAAGAATGTGGCCGCACACATCGAAGACAAGCGCACGGCCATCGACTTAACGATCCTGAAGAATGACATGATGAGCACTCGAGGACAGGTCCGGTGGGTTCCGGGTGAAATAATGATTTCGGACTCTCTCACGAAAAAGGGGCCCTCTAATTTCCTTCGAAAGATAATGCGCTGCTCGTGTTGGACCTTATGTGAGTACGGAGCCAAAGCGCTTCAGCGGTTTTGACCAAAGAAGATTTGGAGCGATGTGAATCGGACGTCGAACTCCATGTTGGTCAAAACACGCACAAATCGAGAAGCATACCATGACTGTGTCGAATGTCGGCACAAGCTGGGCGGGACCCTGCATGTGGTTGGATCGCGAAAAGGGTGCGATCCTGTAGATGCTATCCACAAAAGGATATCACAGGACTATGAACATAAGGCCTCGGAAACCATTATTTCTTCTCCACACCCAGTGGTTCACGGATAGCCTTGAACTCCTGGTTGGTTGACTGATAGAGTCTATAACCCCCCCGTGAACAACCAACAGGTCTATGGTACCCATGGTCCACCGTTCTCCACTTTCACGGTCTCCGAACCACGAGCCGTTTGGCTGGAAAAGAAATAGGGCGCTTAAGCATGGAACCCATCTGTTGGATGGACGAGTGGGGTGTCCCCGTCTCCCACCCAACAAAGGGTTAAGTTTTATCCACTGACTGGGTAGGGACTTTCGATGACTGAGAGGCCGCGAGTAGCCGCGGTCCTCATCTTGTTCGATGGTCCAGGTCTGGTACTTGCCTTACACCGAAGATGACGATTCGCCGACTTCGTAAGCTTGTTTGGTTTGGTCCATTTCGGGGCCTCCGTCGTATCAAACCAACATCATGGCACCCGATTGGCACAACCAACGATTTGCAAAGCACTTCATCTAAAATGGGAGTTATTGCAACCTCATACAGTGCTCATACAGTGTCACAGGATCTTGCTCAGTGGGTGGGTGCGCAAAACGTGACCGTGACCAATTCCTACAATCCTCTTAGCTTCATCGAAACGGATGATTGTGACTATTATTATATACTGCATTTCGCTCCAAATCTTTTGATGACTTTTCCACACATTGGAGGCTTTGCGGCTTTGCTGTGGTTTCTCTGCATCTTTGAAGCATGAGGTGCTAGTTGAGGTGCTGGAGAGCATTTCCCTGACGATCTGGACTTGTGCTCTTCTCATAAAGGCACTGCAAACAAACATGCATGGAAGTGGAAAGGGCTGATGTTGAGAAAGAACATGATCACCCCCCCCAGGCGTCATATGGCGTCATGCTTCAGGAAGATTTATCCCACAAACACGCACGTATTTCTTTGCATTATACACTTCAAAGATCTTCCAAGTGTTCGTTGCTTTGCTGATTTTTTGCGTGTTGTGCGTCGTCTCGGACGAACACATCCAGCCATCCCCTCTCCGAGGATGCCGATCCCGGACTCGGGACACTGATGGTAACGACGGTTGATGATATTTCGAGCAAAGGTTTTACATTCCATTTCTGGGGTGGCTTTAGTCATCAACAGTCCTACACTCAGTTAAATAAGCTTTTGGTCAGAGCATTTCTGAATGACTCAGTTCCACCTACACAAGAATCCAACAAAACACTTGTCAACCGCAAAGATGGTGGAACACTTGGCGGAACACACCATGTCTGATCCATCTGTGTAGGTCATCTGCTGCATCTGATGTCTCTTGGTCTCTGCAGGGCCATCTCCTCATGTGGAACCGACCTTCGGAGATATCGGTTCTGCCTGCGGAGGGGGGGTACGCCACGAGTCTTCGACGGGTTGCGTACTCCCCACTCAGATCTCAAAAGCTCAGCAAAGCAACCAAGAGATCTGAGCCTTGTGGTTGGATCCAGGTTTCCCACTTAGGAGCCTTGTGTGGGAACCCACTAAGAGCCTTGGGTGAACAAACCCAACCCGTTCGCTCAAGTGTTTGACCCTAACTTGGGACACCTAAAAACGACCCGTTCTTGGTTTTTTATGTTTTTTGCAGTGTGGCAAATAGCATTCTTCGGGTCCATCATCTCCAGTCTAAAACAAACAAATACTTTGGAGCCTCCAAACCTACATAACAGTGTCTCTGATCACCGTACCTGAGAAGGTACGACTGGATCCCTGGGGTCTGATAGACCGGTGGAGGCCACTGGTCGAGTCTTTTCGCAAGCGAGGCCACTGGGATGTTGGATCTCCCCCTCGGTGAAGGTCTGACGCCGATCCAGCGGCTTCCTGCGCAGCCGACGGCCGGACGGCCACGTGGGGCTGCGGGTCGGCGGCCGACGGCAGGTGTGTACCCCACCAGCCCCCAAGGTGAGAAGCGGCCGAGCAGATGCGGTCGCGGTCATTCTTCTTGCTTGTTCTTCCTCTTGGGACTCTTGGATACCCTCAACAACTGGCCGGGACCCTGGAGGGTCAGCCATTCTAGACCCTAGTAGTTGAGGGTATACTCTTGGGGGGGGTGTAGAAGGGAGCTCACATAGGGAGACCGAAGCAATGCGTGTTCCAGTTCCCGGTGACCGGTCGGGTCAGGTGAGGACACGAAGGGCCAAGGCCGTTGGGTCCTGCGGCCATGCTCTGACAACAGCAGGTTCTAAACGCCAGGGGGTGGAAGTGTGGTGTCTGCAAGTGGTAGGTAAACTACAAGAGACACAAAAAAGTGTCTGCTAGTGGTCTTTCCATACATAAACGCAAGGTTGTGTGTATAGTGAGGAAAGGTTGTGACCACGCTCCAGTGGCTGGGGAGCGTGCGGGTTCTTGACATCGTCGGCATGTCCACATGTATTTGCTTGAGGGGGGCCGCCCAAGCAAAGACCATAGCTGCCAGAATAGCAAACACGAGCAAAAACTTGCAGCAACATGCAACAACTAGTGCAGCACACCCTTGGATTTGATCGGAGGAACATCTCACATGTTCACTGCACATTCTGCTGACCTCTGAAATGTTCATATCCTCTTCCGCAATGGAAGCAATATATGAAGCAATGGATGTACCTCTGAATGCCTCCTCGTCCGCCCGATCCTCCCTGCACATGTCCTCTTGCCACTGCTGGGGCTCACGCTTTCACCTCCATATCTTGAGTGAAGATGAACAAAACATAGATCCAGAATGGCTTTTCATGTTCCAGGCTTAGGGGGTGTAATTCCTCAACAGCCACATATTTAATATGTCTATACATTACATGTTGAGTGTTGATCAATAACCTCCCAAGTAGGGCTATTCCGCTTTTGGCAGCGACCTCATGACCTCTCTGACTTGACCTTGCTTCTGGCCAACACCTCACTTCAAGCTGTCATATCATGGTGTTTCGTCCGCATCGTAAGGCGTTTCATGCCTAGAACATCTACTGCATCATGCGAGTCCAAGATGTCCGAGTTGTTCATCTACCAACCAGTGCCTTAGGCCTTGCTGTGTTGTTCTACCAACCAGCCCCAGCATGCGAGTCTGATTGATCACCCCCTTGTGAGTGGAAGGTTTCGGATCTTGGAAGTCGCTTGGTATTTGTTCATGCCATCATGCTATTTACGCTTCATCTTCATAAACTAAGACTCATCATCAATGATTCACCCGGGCATTTTCACCCATTCTATACTATGCCAAACTATATAACTACATATTATGTACACACAATTTTTGCGGTTAAGACTGCTCCTTGGCAGAGACTGAGAACGATGGTAAGGCTCAATTCCAGTATGCTTTTTCCCAAAGAAAATAGGATAACATGTGATAACTGCACCACAAGAGTTATGGGGGAGTCCTGAATCAAGAGTCTAAGTCTAGAGTCTAACTATTCCAGCCTCTCTGGATGCACCACAAATATGTGATTCATGTCTTTCCCTCGACCCCAGCTCAATGCCCAGCTCGATGCTCGCTCCGTCTCGCTCGCTGTCGCCTGTCTCGGGTGCTTCGACGGATCCATAATTGGGGTCCTGGGATTGGAGGAGCCAGGAACTGGGAAAAACATCTTTCAAAGGTTAAGGAAAATACACGGCTAACATAGGCTAACTATGGCTGACTGGTATATTATATAATATATATATATACAGTATAGAGATTCATCTAGGAACCCTTCGGAACCACATGGAACTGGGAAATAAGCCAAGGCTCGAGACGGGCTTCTTGTCCAAGTTGGCCAAATGCCAGAGTTCCTCAACGTCGCAGCCATGACTCTACAAAGGGAGTGTGGGGAGGGGTTGGAATACCCTACCCTTGCAGGACCATGTTGACCTGGTTTTGTAGTGTAAAAATCCTTAGCAAAACCATGGCTACTTAGTAAAGACATGTAAAGACCATTCAACATGTTCTGCAAAGTTCAACTACAACCTGACTCAATGGCTTCATGATTCCATGTTCCATACCTGGGTCCGATGAGATTTTTCCACCGAGTGGCCACGTCGAACAATTCCTGGCGTATTGCCTGAGGGTGTATCTGCCATGGTTGGCGATCAGATGAAGAGATTCAGTGATGCGAGGCAGCGCTGAGGTGTGCGAAACGCAGTGCCTTCGCTAGGCGAATGAAGATGAAGTGCTTGAGCCCCCAAAGCAGCGTTTTGAGACAGGTACCTTGCAATTCATGTGCTAGTCACTGCCAGCAGGAGAGTTGGAAATATGGTCTACATAGGCCTTCATAGGTCTCCATAGTTCTTCACCTGCCGGTGCATACCAACCTTTTTCTTTTTCACCTCGAGTCTCCGCCATTGGCCCCCCTTTGGGGGGAAGGGCTGGAGAGATTTCAGCTGCCGCCGGGAACGGTCTGGGCCACGCGAGAGGAAAAAAAGCATCGCTGTAAGAGCGTAACTTTGAGAAGCTTGGGCATCACATCACATTGTTTTTTTTGTTTTTCCATCGCCTTCTCAAGGAGTTTAGCAGGGCTAAAGGCGAGAAACAAAATGCTCCATCACATTGTTGGTAGGCAAAGTTCATGTCAAACAGCTGATTCAGACGCCCCTGGATCGGTCAAGCTCTTTCCGCCGCTCCGAAAGGACCACTATTGTTTTTGATCGAGCTCGGCGACTGCCAACCTGAGGCGGCGACCGCTTAGTACGCTGAGAAAAAATGAAAACGGGGAGAGTCAGCTTCTCAAAAGGCGGAGAGTCAGCTGAGTGAACTGGAGAGTCAGCTGGGCGACTTGCTGAAAAGCTGCGGCGCCACTTGCTGCGCGAGCTTCAGGCGCTGCAACAGCGCGTCGTCGTCTGTGCGGGTGGAGCTGGAGGTGGTGGGGGGGGTTCAGTGGTCTGTCATGGCCTGTGGGTAGCAGGAGTCTGCCTATAGAATATCTTGAATATCGATGCTAAGATACAGGGGTGGGGGCCCTGCTCGGGATTTTATAGACATAAATTGGGGGGGTGTAGCCTCCCACCCGTCACCCGTCTATAGAATATCTTTAATGACAAAATTCAAGATCCTTAAATCGTTCTAATTCGCTTCTCGGGTGTTCCCCATCAACATAGCCAATGGCCTGGACATCGACTTCAAGATGGACCATGCTATCCCGATCCACTTGTTGGACTAGGAGTGTGAGGGATCCTGGCAGCCAAACATTCAACGGCACCTACATGGAGGCAACAAACACACACGCGCGCGCGCAGGCGACACAAATCACCTGTGGTGCCTTCACTCTCTTCACCGTCTGACTCTGAACCCAATTCTTCTTCCAAGGCCTGCCGTGGCATGCACAAACGGAGTTCTACTTGATTGATGTCACACATGTGGTACATGATTGATTTCCAAGCCATAGTCTTCAAAATGCTCCAGTAGAACATCCCATAGTCTTCCGTCTTGGAACTCCAAAGCCAGTGGTCATGTTTCTTGTTTCTCCTGCCGAAAACACCGAGCCGTTTCGGTGGGCCGAGCTGAGCCCAGAAGCGGAACGACTGCGATGCCGATGGCCCGGCCCTTTGGAATCAGGGGAGAAGCCCCCGGTGTTCCACTGTAAGCAGGTAGCAGAGTAAACAGCACAACCCGCTAAACCATTTCACATGGACAATCTCTCTCATATTCAGAGATATTCAGAGTACGTATTGGATGGCACAAGGCCTCTTAAACTATAGTCTTAAACTCTGAATGCAAACATCATGTTGGGTTGTTCGCCACCCAAGGTTCGTGTGTGACCTCTGTGGCGTATAATGGTTCTCTATGCAGCTTCTCGACGTGGTTTCTGAGACCCCTCCGGCCCCAGGTGAGGCCACTTCACCGGCACCCCGTCTTCCTAATGGAAAACAGCTCGATGAGGCGCGTCCCCTGAGCCGTGGGATTGAAGGAGGAGCTTCATTCAGCTATGTCAGCTATGTTCGGAGATGTTTGTTTCGACGTCCCTCGTGCTTCTTCGATCGATGGCGGCGATCGATGGCGCGAGGGCATCCGACCGTCAGATCGAGAACGGCGCGAGGTTCGCGCCGGGCCTCGCTCCGGCCAAAGGTGGACGCTGGAGGCGGAGGCGGTGGCCGGTCCTTCCTGAGAACGGAGGCTGCGAGCGGACGAAAATCCGAAGGGATCCGACGGGATCGGCGACGAAGCGAAAGGAAAGAAGAGCGTGGTGGTGTTCAGCGACGAAATCGGTGAAGTGGTGGAGCCAAACACTTTGACGTCTACTTTCACACGTGGCGAACTCACTCACCTCGCCTTCGTGTGGATTTTCTCTCGAGCTCCACGTGGTCGCTATAGGCAAACTGCTCCAAGTCAAAGATCTCTGCGCAAAGGTCGGCCTTGGGGCTGAACAAATGGAGCTCACACATGGGAGGATTCTGGTTGAATCACTAAATCACCCCCCAAGATGGACTAGAAATGGATGTCAGTATGGATGGCCTGGACCTTCCTGGAATTGTTGGGGGAGGTAAAATAGCTTTTAAACATCAATTGATTCAGCAATGCACTCCCTCAATTAGACTCGCGTCCACGCCGTGCTTCGGTCACGTATAGCATCGTCTAGCAGAAATGATTCCACATAGTTCCTGCTATGCTTCAGCAGGTGTGATGCTTCTATTTATCATGCCGCATGCCTTTGCAACCTGGCAACTTGTCATGAAACCGGGGTTCTGACCGTGGCCACCCGGTGGTCCTTGGGGGATCCTGTCTGGGTACTCCGCTCACGAACGAGATCTGGGCCATGTAGGCCAAAGATTTGAAGCTTGAGAAAACTATAGAAAACTCCATACGATCCATTCTTATTCAAGAAATATCGGTCAAAATCTCAACAAACATCTTCCAACCCACCCCAGGAACAACCTCAGACCCGACCCCAAAACTTCTTCTGCGGCATCCGTTACGACTCCCTACATTTTCCAGTGTATTCTTGTGTCTATATGTGTTTGGAGTATCCTTTTGTTGTGTCCACTTCATGTTTATGACTATGAGATTTTGTGAGAACGTATGGCGGTATGGCGAATTGCTGCTGGGCAATTTTTTCTCATTCAGACAAGAACGTGGACCCCCTAGGACATGAAACAGGAACATGAATCACACTGGGTGCCTTCGGGGGCCCCCACCAGCAGGTGGTTTCCAGCAAAACAGTCACACACTCGATTCGTTCGCTCGCTCTCCAATCAAATGCTTTTGCATTCAAATCATATCTTCTTGGCTGCGGGGCGAAGCAGCGGAGTAAAATCCCTCTTCTATCCTCTTCTAATCTATGCTACCGCGCTACCTTCTAGTATCTCAAAGAAACCATTTCAAGCATTTCATGCCCGATTCAATGGTAATGATTTTCCATTAGGGATACCTATGTCAAGTGGACAATTGTTACCAGCCCCCACCCTCAGCACACCTAAATCAAGTAGCGTCTGAAACAATCATATAGTTCAATCAGTTATTTCGCGACGTCACCCCACCCACTCAAATAAATATGCAAGGGGGCAGCCATCCTTTTCCGGCGATAGTAGACGCAAATGCACGGAGCACAAAGTACCTCAGTCACTCCACAGAACGCTGGTGGAAATCACACGGCATGACGGAAGAGTTCCTGCACTACCCAAAACCGCTGCGACAATAATAGGGTCCCCAAAACAAATGTTGTGGATCTATACATATATATATACTTGAGGAGACGGGGGTGGACGAAAGGTAGCATGTCTGCAACTGCTGCTGCTGCTGGTTGCTGCTGCTGGTTGCTGCTGCTGGTTGCTGCTTGCTGCTGGTTGCTGCTGCTGGTTGCTGGTTGCTGCTGCTGCTGGTTGCTGGTTGCTGCTGCTTGCTGGTTGCTGCTGCTGCTGGTTGCTGGTTGCTGCTGCTGCTGGCTGCTGGTTGTTGCTGCTGCTGGTTGCTGCTGCTGCTGCTGCTG